GAATGCTAAGAATTTGGTTACAATCTTTGTCAGGGACATATTAAAAGTAGTTCATCAGAAGCAAGAAGCGATTTCTAGAGACTAGCAGACTGCTAACAGCACCACATTTGCAGTGATAAAGGACACACATCACCACCAACAAGCTCAGGAACTGAACAAGCACAGCCAGCTCAGAAAACAAAGACAAGAATAAGCAAACCCGAGAGTCACAAGAAGCCCTTGGTGCATCAGATAATGATGAAAAATGTTTAAATTATGATCAGGGAAGTTTTCTGGGTTTTTTTGCAGAGAGGCTTTTGCCATAGGGCACATGTGCTTGCCAAAGAGACAGAGACAGACAGAAAGCGAGAAATCACCCCCCCAGGGAGATGGCCACACCACAATCCCTTCTCCTCCATTCTCCTCTCAGGATTTTGGGCATGCACACACAAGCACCCTGCATGAGCTTCAAGTCACCGGGTCTGGGACTCGAACCTCGGTCGATTATGTGGGGAGTCTAGTGACGTAACCACTATACCATCTGCTGGTCCCAATCAGGGAATATTTAAAAGGGAAAGAATAGGCTACATTTAAAGTGGTTTCTGCCCTGGATGATCAATATTTAAAAACAAGATATGTCTTAATACCCAAAGATGTTACTTATGTTGAACATCTCATTTCCAAGCAAAGATAATTTTGGTACAATAAAAATAATGAAAAAAAAAAAGCTTCTAGCATAATTATCTTCAGGCATAATTTTAATAATATGGAAAACATTTTTAAAATAATTTTTTCAATGTCAGCATTATTATTCTGAATTTCTTTACTTTTCTTACTTTAAGAAACAGTAGCACATGGGATTAGCCAACTTTTCCATCTGAACATATAGCTTCTCTACTATAATTTTTGAGCATAAATTAGATAAACCGCATTTGAAATCGGAGTACGATACACAAGGTGCCTGGCTTCTGTCACACTGACCCTTATGCTATGTGCAATGGTCCGGCACTCTGAGGACACTAACATGTCATGTGTACCTTGGCATGTGTGCTCTTGTGCCACTTGAAGCGCGGCACTTTGTGTTCCTTCAGTACCTTCAAAAGCCACATCGAAAACACTGCTATTACCTGGTTCCCTTCCATACTCCACACAGTACTAGAATTTGTGCTTTTTCATTAACATTTAAAACCAAAAACTGCATAAATTTTAGCACTCAATCAAAAACCTATATATGGCCAAATTTTAAGTACGATGTGCCAGGAGATCTGGCTCTTTGTAAATGAGCAGATTTATCACAGAAACATAAAGACCCCACAGTAATCTACAACATTTCATTATAGAATTAATTTTCACATGTGTGGGACAGAGATATGGTTTATTTTCTATTGATGAGGATGTGTATAGTGTTCTCAACGGGTCTGGACTGAAGTGCGTCTCATGCTGGGTAAAGTCTCTTTACAATCTAAATGATGTATAGTGATTGAATGTATAAATAGTAATAATAATAGAATTAATTTTCTACTATTTTTCAATCATCTCCCCAGCACTAGTAAAGATGACATACAGGAACCAGCAGAGGGTGTAATGGTTACATTGTTGGACTCCCACATAGCCAAGCGTGGATTGAGTCCTGGACCTGGCAGCTTAAACTCATGCCAGGTGTGTGAGCTTAAACTCATGCGAGGTGTGTGTGTGTGTGTGTGTGTGTGTGTGTGCCCAAGATCCCAACAGGAGAATGGAGGAGAAGGGATTGTGGCACGGCCATCCCCCCCGGGGGTGATTTCTCGCTTTCTGCCTCTCTGCCTCTCTCTATTTCTCCAGCAAGCACATGTGCTCTATAGCAAAAATCTCTCTTTAAAATAGAAAAGATGAAATACAAATTCTTTTTTTAAAATAATTATTTATTAAATTTTATTTATTCATTCATTCATTTTTAATTTGACAGAGAGACAGACACACACAGGGGAAGGGGAAATGAGAAAGCAAGCCCCTAGGTCTAGGACTCAAACCGTGGTCAGCCATGTGGGAGAGTCCAACACCTTAACCACCACGCTACCCGCTGGTGCCCCTACAAATTCTTTTTTTTTTTTTTTTGGGGGATTTTCACTTCAGGTGGG